GTTTGGCTGACTGGAGTGTTGTGGGGATTGAACTACAGCAACCTGAGGCTGACAGCTTTGTGGAAGCAGCCACTTAAACAACTGAGCTAAGGCCAGGCCCCCCACAGCTGCAGTTTCAAGGGCAGAAACAGCCAGCAGAAAGCCAACTGGGCAGGCACATAAAATTCAGGGCTTATAGGTTAATTTCCTGCACGCTAGGAAAAATAAAAGGCATAATTGCTGTTGTAGATTTGGGACTAGGCATATAATTATATGCAGAGTTATATTAATATGGATTTATTTTCATAGCTGTAAAATTAGTTTAATTACATTTATTTTATTCTGTGTTAATACTATTTTCTCTTAACTCAGGGAAATTGCTGAAGCTGTGAAAAATTGTAAGCCTAGGGTTCCACCTGCCAGTGTTTTTGAAGGACATATGTTACTGTCTGGTAAGTCATGAAGACTTGGTGATTGTGCTTTCAGAAATCATCTGTAGAAGGTATTTGGTATGTTTATTCTAGATGGTAGTGATAATTTGTGCCAAACAACTGATTAGGTCAAAGAGGAGAATATGTTTTCTTGGCACTTAAATGAGTTCTAGTGAAGAACCCTTTCTTTTTCTAGGTGTGGGGCTAGGAAGACATCAGTTTCTGGGTTAAATAAATGAAGGCCCCAGGTGATTTGTCCAGATTACCAAGTGAGCTTGGTGGTCCTGTGTCTATTGTGCACTGTTTTGAAAAACATACCTTTGACCACAGCCTGATAAGTTTATTGTTTTGATAATGGTTATCAAAAATTCCAAACTGCCAAAGCTTGTTGAGTAAGAGCAATAGAGTCTTCCTGGAAAATTTTGTGTGCATCCAAAACATTATTATTGTAATCTTTTATTGTAGATTTGATACTTCACAAAGAAGTGTGTATTTATTTTTGTTTGGTTCTCAGCATTCCTGTTAAGATAGACAGCCTCTTGTTTTCAGCATATGTTTTGATATTCAAATTCAAAGAAGGCACTAGTAAAATCAGTCCTCTTGCCTTCTGTTAGAAAAATGAATTTTCATGTTTTGTCTGATGTTTATGAAATAGTAGATGGCAAGACTAAGTCAAGGGGCTGGAGAGATGGCTCAGTGGTCTAAAGCACCTACTTGGAACAAGCTTGGCTAAAGCACAGGGACCGCAGTCGATCCCCCAGCACCACATGCCAGCCAGCCCCGCCCCCTGGTGGGCTGAGCTGGACACACACACACACACACACACACACACACACACTAAATAAATGTTAAAAAAAAAAAAGACTAAGTCAAAAATATTTTTATAGAGGAGCTGCACATAACATGTAGGAAATCATATTTTCTTGTAGTTTATAGTTAACATCTCTGTAAAGTGAAATATTTTTGTTTTATATGTTATCCTAAGGAAAATAAAGTAAAATAAAAGTGATAGCAAAAGTAATACCAACTTTTCTCAGCCAGAATATATTCATAGAACTAGCCCCCATTGAGTCAATAAACATACCTCTTTGTGTTAATACTGTTTTCTTTTTGTGCTATGGCAGGCAAAACATGAGATTGGAACAGTGGAGTTTATGATTTGTGATACGGTAGCTTTGTCAGAGAAACGTGTGACAGAAAAGTTGACCTTATCCTTGGAACTTGCAATTTTGTATTGCTTCAGCCACGCACTTGTAACAAAAATACATGACCTTTGTTGGAATCTGAACAAGATAACCATTTGCATATGATTTATTCTTTCTAGAATTCATATGTGGGAATCTTTTTTCTTGAATTTCAGTTTTATACTCTCTAAATTTCTTTAAGTCACCTTCAAGTAGATATTAACAGTGATATCAAATGCTTCCTTTTAACTTGTTTTAATTTTTTCATAAATTGCAGACTTGAGAGAAATGCTGTGCGATCAAATATTTGATGTTCATAGTAGAATTGAACTGTGAGATGCTGTTAGGGAGGTCGTATAAGAACTCTTCAGAATTTAAGTGTTGGTATCTCTGTTTGCCTGTCGTTTGAACCCCCACTCAGTCTAAGGGTCAGGGATATGCTGAAGCTAGCTTGGGATCATCACCAGCTGAAATTGTGGAAAATGATTGTCTTTTGAACGGGTGAACCGATGTTTTGGAATGGTTTTATGCACTGTTAATATAGCTTATTTTCATTTAGTTCCTCATCTGCTGCTTTTTCAACCAGTGCTTTGGCAAAGGACTCAGAAGCCATATTCTTTCATTTTGACAGTTATGATTGCTCAGTGTTAACTTTGTGCCTATGAGCATTTTCCATTATTGTATTTTACTTGTACAATAATAATGTAAGGTAGACACTTTCCTATGTTTGTTTTATAAGCTTAGAGACCATGCATGTGGGAAGTTGCCTTGGGTTGTCTGATCAGGCAAGCAATTTGAACTCAGCTGTCTGTCTTCAGACCCTACCTATGAAACAATCCAGTGAGATTATCTTCTCTTTCTCTCTCTCTCTCTTTTTTTTTTCCTAATGTATTTAGTACAGGGTCTATAGGGTCTCACTACACAAATTGGACTCATAGTGATCCTTCTGTTTTCAGCCTTCCAAGTGCTGGGATTATAGGCATGCACCACCATGCCCAATCTGCCTTCTCTTAATAGTTTAAAAATAACAAGCAGAACTAAAGTAGTTCAAACCCTTTTCTGTATCTACACTCTATGTTGTTTTGTACTTGCAGTTAATTTATCCACATGTATTACATGGTATTTGCCCCTGTTTTGGGAGATGAACAAAGTTGTACATATACTATTGCTAGAATTAAGATAGCTTGCTCCATCAACTTCAAGCTGGTATCTGAGATATAGAACAATCTTGATTTTTCAACTCTCTTGATGGCTTTTGGCCCTTACACTTGGTTACATAGGGATATGATGATAACTTTTCCTTCTTTCTCAGAGATGGTATAGTTCAGCCAATTAGGGATAGCTGTAGTATACAACCCTGAATTATTTCTTCTTTTGAGAGTTCTGGCTGGAAATGTAGCCACAGCATATAACCTTTGTTGCATTTACATCTCCCTAAAACAGACTGTAGTCCTCTTTCCACATTAGATCCCCTGTCCATCTCCTTGGATAGGCTTTGGTACAGCAACTTCTTTCTTACTGAAAGCATTTTTGTCTGTGAGTCTTGTGTCATAGATATGCATTTTCAGGAATTTTTAAAAATGCTTTTCCTTTTAAGGTCTAGAGCCCTTCAGGATTGGGCCATATACCAACTTTGTTAACATTGGAGAGCGCTGTAATGTGGCAGGATCCAGGAAGTTTGCTAAACTCATCATGGCAGGAAACTATGAAGTAAGCATCCTTGTGAGACCCCAGAGGCATCTGCCATGTCTCTGGCTAGACAGCATGTCATTGAACAACAGTTTGCCCTTTGTAGTGCTGTCTGAGGGGCTGGGAAGTGTTTGAAGATGGTAATGGGTGTTTGGAGCAGGAGGTTTGTGGGAAGATTAGGCTAATGTAGATGAAGCTACTGTTGTCAGCATATATTAAAAAGTACCACAGTGGGGCATGAAGTGCGGTGAGATGGGTAGGCTTTAGCTTCTACCCATTTTTATTGATTGGCAAGTCAATGTTCTTCATTTTGACCTCTTAGGAATCCTTGTAGGAAAGGGAAATACTAAGAAAATTTTTACCTAATTCCTCCTGACAGCGCAGAATGTTGATTGATGAAAGACTGAGCATATTAGCTGTAGACTGAAAGAAAGAAAATAGACCACTACTTTGGAAACTTTATGAATAACTTAAGTCATGATCACTCAGTGGATGACCAAATTTAACTTACACCAAGCTGCTCCCTAGTCAGAAGTTCTGCAAAGTAGAGTAAGAGCCACATTCTGAAGGCATCATCTGCCTTCCCCATCAAGGTCTGGTGCTTTCCCATCCTGATTCAACGTCTGCACACCCTGCAGGCTTGCTTCCTCTACTGTGCCTGGCTCACGTTAGCTCCTTTCAGAAGTGGTGATGACCCTGAATAGTCATGCAGTGTTCTGCAATTGCCAGTTCTTTTCCTTATATTTGATTCTGCTGCCCATTCTATGGTATCCTTTTCATCACTCTGATTTAATGAATTTGACACTGACAGCATAAGCTACTTTAGGAAGAAGCAAACTGGTAGAATGTGACACTGACAGCTTAAGCTACTTTAGGAAGAAGCAAACTGGTAGAAGTAATAATATATGTTATTTAATAAAATCTTTTTTGTGCTACTAATGTAGTGCAAGGTAGTTTTTAATAGAGCTGTGTCATGTACTCCAGCTAGATATAAACCCTTCAAGAATGGGGACTGAGAGTGGCTCCTCTTTTTATTTTTATATTATTTAATCATTGCTGATATGGAAAAAAACATTTTGCTGAATTTAATTGTGATTCTTTTTCTGTGTGTCTTTGCCTCATTGTGAATGGTTTTTCCTTATGACCTGTTTCAGAGGATTGCATGTTTATTCTGTTACAGTAACTGATAAATATTCTTATTTGATTTTCTTAGGCTAAGAAAAAATCTGGACATATCAGTACCTACTGCTGATTTTATACTTGATTATTTTATGACAGTGAAGTCTGCAGTGACATCTTAAAAACACCACTTTACCAATTATAAAGCATTATTGAACATATACATTGTGCAAAGTAGGAGATACATAAGACCTTTCCTTGTTTCCAAATACTTCAAATGTATTTATAAGAATAACTAGCAAACATGAGAGAGTGAGGAAAATATAATGAAATAGACTGTATGATAAGGCTCAAGAGGATGTAAGTCATCCAAAGTGTTCTTTGAACACTGATCCTACAAGTTTCCTTAAATGGACATTAGTGGGAGATTGTGTTTATAGTTCTTTGTTCTTGGAGAGTTGCAACATATACTAGCATATTAAAGGATTTGAAAACCCTTCCAGAGATATAAAAACACTGGAATTTATCTCAAAATTTTATCTTTTCATGTTTACATGCTTTGGCAAACACTGAAGAATTACATGACTGGATGGATTCTCTAAAGACTCTTGTCTCTGTAAGATGTGTGTGTGTGTGTGTGTGTGTGTGTGTGTGTGTGTGTATCTGTATCTGTCTGTCTTCTGTAGTATTGTGGACTGAACCAAGAGTCTTTGCACTGAACTAAGTCTAAGGACTTTTCTTAAAGGAGGTGGGTCTTTAGCACAGTCTAAACGAATGTAGAGGAAAAGGGAATGTGATCTGTAGAGGGACTGAGTGGGGAGTTCAGTTGGGTGATAAGGCAGCCTTGCTCCTTGACTACTAGCTGAGTTTAGATTCTTTATGGTAGGAAAACAGCCTTGATGAGATTGCAAGAAGCAAAATGATATAAGGAAGGTTAATCTCATCAATGCTGTCAGGAGAAAGCCAGGCCCAAAGTCAAGCAATAGGGCTGGTGAGTCTAGAGTATTAGGACAGCTGAAGGTGTGAGGGATTATTTTTGTTAGCCTCCTTTGAGTCACTATCTCCTAATGATGATGCTTCTCGAATTCTTCCCACAGGAAGCTCTGAGTGTTGCCAAAGCACAGGTGGAAATGGGAGCCCAGGTGCTGGATGTCAACATGGATGATGGCATGCTAGATGGTCCAAGTGCAATGACTAAATTTTGCAACTTCATTGCTTCCGAGCCTGACATTGCCAAGGTTGTACAAAGTTTAAGTTCAGCAAGGGAGTTTACTCTGTCACTCAGATTTGCTATTTGCTTCATTTATCAGTCCACGGATAAACTGTTTTTACCCCCCTCACGTTGAGAGCATAGTCGTTTCTGATTTTCAGCTTCTTTGACTAATGATACTCTTTTGGACATAAGCCAGATTTTGGAGAGAGATATTCCTTCAGCTTTGCAGTTTCCAAGGCTTCTGGGATTGGAATTTCCCTAGATATCTAGACAGAGTGAGAACCTACTTCTCACAGTTCAGAATGTGTGCTTACCTGTTCTTGCAATATCATTGGTTGCATTTCTGTCTGGGGCAGGGGAACTTGGTACTTCTTTATTGCAGGAAAAAGAGACCTTATTAAGCTTACCAGGTTAAGAAGAAGTGTGGGGCAAAGGAGATATATTGGTGGTCTAAGTGCCTGCCTGACAAGCACAAAGACCCAGATTCAGTGCCTCATACTGCATGCTGTACCAGTCCTGTGCTGAGCAGAACACCGAAACCAGGCGTGGTGGTGCACGCCTGTAACCCCAGCTCTGGGGAGGCTGAGACAGTATGAGCTGCATATTGAGACCTGTACCAAATAAATAAGATTTTAAAAAAGTGTAAAACAAGGTTAAATCAAAGTATTATGTCAGCTTTTATATTTGTTTTTTAAAAGGTGAAAGTTTAATTTTTGTGTTAGTCTTTTTAAAATTTTTAAAAGGGCTCAGAAAACTCACCTTATCTTTCAGCCATTAAATCTATGATGAGGAACTCCCACCCCTTCAGTACTGGGGATTGAATCCAGGGGCATGCGTATGCCATAAGTGCTCTACCACAACTTAAAAGAATTTTTAAAATTTTTTTATTTTGAGACAGAGTCTTGAAAAGTTGCCCAGGCTGGCTTCAACTTGAGATCGTCCTGTCTTAGTCTCTGAGTAGCTTGAATTTTAGATCTGTGCCACCACACTGGCCTTGAGATTACATTCATTCATTCATTCACTCACTTATTCATTCATTCATTTATTTGTTTATTGGTACCAGGAATCAAACTCAACCTTCCACTTGCCAGGCACACGCTTATGCTGCTGAGCTATATCACCGGCCAGAGATTATTGTGTTGTTTTTTTTCTTCCCCAGTACCAGGAATTGAACTTGGGACCTTGTGCTTGCCAGGCAGACACTTATGCTACTGAGCTATATATCCCCAGTCCCTGAGATTAATTTCATAAGGCAACTTCTGGTACTTTAGAGTTGTATGTCTCATTTTGGGCTTTGATTTTTATTAGGCTTCAGCAAATTCTTAAGTTAGAAGTTGTGGGAAACACTATCCATATTTTATTTGTGTATCTAAAAAGCATCACCACTTTTTTGGGAGTGAACCTTTTGAGAATTTGAAGTGCTAGTTCAGTGACCAGTTCGGTCAATCAGAATCATGGGAATGAGGTGTTCATCAATTTCTTAGTGGGAAGAAGGCTGGCTCCCGCTGAGCTGTGCTGATAAGCTGTTAACGCTGGTTTCTTTCCTCATATCTGAAATCAGCTAGTCATGCGTGCTTTACCTGATTCTTGAAGTATCATGATTAAGCCTTGTCAGCCATGTAGGATGCCATGTAATGTAAGAGATTATTATTACTTTGTCCTTTAATTGTTACTTTTTTTCTCTTTTTTGGTTTTGACCTATAGTCTTACTAAAATTTAGTGGAGACCAAGTGTCTTCATTACTTTTCTCTCAATTTTGAGACAAAATACTTGATAGCCAGAGTTAAAGAAAGCAGCCGGCCAAATAGCTCAGTGAACTGAAGCACCTACTTAGACAGGTGCAGGGATCATTGTGCCGTGCTGGCCCTGCCCCCAGGGCGAGCTGAGGCAGTGTGCCCCAGTGACCATGGTGGCGCACCCCTGTAATCCCAGTGCTTGGGAAGCTGAAAACAGGATTACTACAAGTCCAGTCTGTGCAGTGAGACCCTGTAGTCCCTGTACTAAATATATATTAAAAAAAAAAAAAAAGAAAAAACAAAAAGTTAAAAGTAGGAAAGACTTATTTAGCTTACAGTTTGTAGAGGTTTCAGTCTATAATCAGCTGGCTCCAGGGCACGATGGATGGTAGATAAACATTGTAGAGGAACAACAGTTCAGAGTAGCAAAGCAACAAGGGATAACCACATCTCCTTTATCCTTTACATCTTATCAAGGCTGCTTAGGCCACACTCTTAATCATTGGGCACTTAATCCTAGAATTTCACGTGAATCAGTTCCAGCACTGCATATTCTAGGTCTAGCCACCTTTGAAAAAAATCCCTTCTAGGACCACATGAGGCTGTGGGGGAAAATCTAGACCCAGGCCGTAACACCCAAGTTTTAGCTAGTAGTGGTAAATCACAAAAATGTTTTACCTCACACATTCTTACCAGTAGGATCCAAACACCAAATTGTTACCAAAACTCTAACATGTTCACAACAGGGCCTCATTCCAAGGTATGTCTTGTTGCTGGGTGCTTGTGAACCATAAGTGAGTGGAACATCCTCTGTTTGGGAGCCCTTGGAAGGGGATTTGTGGTGACTTGTGACACTGTGATGTTCTTCCTCCTGTATCTTAGGTGCCCTTGTGCATTGACTCTTCCAATTTTGCTGTGATTGAAGCTGGGTTGAAGTGCTGCCAAGGGAAGTGCATAGTCAATAGTATTAGTCTGAAGGAGGGTGAAGAGGACTTCTTGGAGAAGGCCAGGAAGATTAAGAAGTTTGGAGCTGCTGTGGTAGTCATGGCTTTTGATGAAGAAGGACAGGTGAGTGTTGGCCTCGCACCATAATGGCCCCCAGGTGAAATATCAGGGGGAGAAAATAGTCTGAAACAGTTATACGTATATACACATACACATGCCTGTGTAGAAGCAAACACATAAGTGTACATATTATCTATGTATATGAAGATTTGTTGCCTGATAATGTCTTTACATCAGTGGAGAAAGATTGAATTATTCAATAAATACTGTTAGGACAACTGGTTATTTTGCATTTGGAAGCAAATAAAGTTAGATTCCTGTTTTAAACCATTTTGTACTATCACAATACTATATTTGAAATGATATTTATTTGGCTCACTGTTCTGTAGGCTGAAAAGACTTAAGAGGTTATATCTGGTTATATCTTATATTCTTTGCTACGTCATCACATGGCTGGAGGGCACAAAGTGTGAGAGAAGAGAGAGGGGGACTTGGTATCATAGCAGACCCACTCTTGGGGTAACCAACATACAGTACTCTACTCTCTTAATGACAACATGGGTCCTTTGGTAAATGAAGAATCCTATGACTTAATCATCTCTTAAAGTTCTCACTAGGGCCTCACTCCAGTACTAGTCCCACTTCCCACCATAAATTAAGTTCATATTGATTAAAGACTTAAATATAAAACATTCTAAATAATATGTAGAAAATCCTAGCTTAAACTTGTGATGTAGATGTTACTAACTTAAGAGGCCAAAAAGAAAATTGATAGCTATTCACATAAAACATAGAACTTTGTATGATGGAAGACATGGTACTGTTTACAACATAAATACTAGCAGTAGATTAATACCTAATATGCACAGAGCATCTATAATTCAGAAAGCATATTTTTAATATATATTTGATTTTCACTATTTAAAACAATTGAAAAAATCCATTCCTTGTGATTAATTTCTTCCTGGCAATCTTATAATAGGTTGAATATGTAAGGGTATGTGTTCACATTCACTTTACTTTTAGCATGGTGGTAGTAAAAAATTGATTTGCTTTGATTTTGGTTTTGTGATCTTGGGGGTTGAACTAAAGTTCTAGGCAGAACTCTCCCATTGAGGTAAACCTCCAGTAAAAACATCTGAGGACATTCTAAGGGTCCATCACTAGGGAAAACTGTAAATCTTTCTTTTTCCTTTTTTTTGGTATTGGAAATCGAACTCAGGACCAGGCAGATGCTTATGCTGTCGAGCTATCTTCCTGGCCCTAAAACTGTAAATCTTAATATGTGCCCCAAAGACTATACTGCAGTAACTAAAAATAATGTGATAGGACAGTGAAAAACAGACAAGTGATACAATCCCAGATTTTATTTAATAAGGAAGTATGTATGCAGAAATTTGTCTGGGGACCGCTCGCTTGGGGCCCCCCTTCTGTCCCTCTCTAGGATAGAAGCTTTCTTTCTCTCAGTAAATATATTCTGCTCATAAAAAAAAAGAAAAAAGAAAAATTTGTCTATATAAATAAAAAGTTATTGTCAGCTAAGGGATTTGGGCTGGTCTCATGGAGACATATTGACAGGTAGCAAGTAGTAGAATGATAGGTACTTTTTCTTCCCTTTCTGTTTTATAATTTTTGAAATAAGATGTTTAAAAAATATTACTGGTTCTGTACAAAAGCTACATTTTATTATGAGAAAAATTCAGATAATACAGAAGGTAGCAGATGAAAGATAATTTTCATCATGCTGAATCTTACTTAACTCACACCGAACAAATGTACACAGCATACAATATCAGTTTTTCTTCTCAGCATACTAACTTTGAGTATTTGTTATTATTTTTGTTTTTGATGTGAGGCACTGAAGCACTGAAATATTACATGTCACACATTGCTGCTAGCAAGCAGTAAAGTTGGGATTCAGGCCTTCAAGTACTGGTTTCATGCATCAGGGAAAGGCTATAAAAGATTGTTCTATAAAAGATTCAGGAAAAGTGTGCCAGGGAAGTGTTGGCTCTTTTTAAAAAGTGGTCTTATAAGGTCTCTTGAAGGAGGAATTAGTTAAAAACCCAGTAAAATGAAGGAGAAAACCATGAAGCCATGGAGAAAAATAGAAGTTCCAGTTAATGGAAAATTTTAACAGCACTACTGGTGTAGTTCTGTAAGGCTATTAATGAGAAGTGAACGCTCCCAGCCCTTCACATCCCCAGAGGCAGCTGCTTTCAACTTTGTAAAGTGAGTTTTGTGGCATGTACCTCTTTGTCTTCAAATTCTAGTTTAAATTTTTTATTAACTGCCAACAGTGGGTTAAAGGTAAAGCTTTTCACTGTTGAATTCTCCCAGTATGCACATCTTTATTTTATCTCTCCATCTCCCAGTATAGTACATTGTAGCTATGACTGTTTTCAGTGCTTGCATATTAATGTAGAAACTTAGTCATATAGTACATTGTTTTTCCTTTCCTATACCTTGTTTTCCACATTAATGTCTCTATTTGTTTGCATTGTTTCCTATATATTTAACTTTTAAATTATTTGCTGGTGTGTAAATCTCTACTAACCACTGTCCATACATACTAAGTAGACTGTTGTTGGAAGTAGTGGAAATTAGGAAACTGATCGAATGTGTATAGATGGGACTAGGCCTCAGTGTCTAAAACAAACAAGCTAACTCAGTCCCGGGATAATCATCCTGTCTGATTAAGGTCAGCTATTGGTCGCTAGGCAACCTTGTGTCATGTGTTACTAACTTTGCAAAAGTATAAATAAAGGATCATTTTGTTGTGTGTTGCATTAGTCTTACCTGTCAGGCAGACAACGACCACCTAGCCCAGCTTTTGTCTTCTTGTCTGTCTTTTCTCATTCCTGCCACTGTTTCTCCCTGGGTAGAACCGATTGCAGTGAGACCAATGGATCCCTACAGACTGTCATCTGTATTTCTTGAAGAATTCTCCAGGGGCCGGGGAGATGGCTCAGTAGAATGAGCGCTTGACTGGCAAATGCAAGGATCTGAGTTCAATCCCCGGTTCTGCCAAAAAAAAAAAAAGAATTCTCCAGAACTTCTAACTTGATTTGGAAAGGCCTCTCAGGAGACCAACTGCACAATTTATCACTGTGAAATGTTCCTCTCACCTGTCCTTAGATTTTTAGATCTCATAATTGCCCCATTTTTGGTTAAACCCTCATTTAATGGAATGGCTCCCCAGGTAGCTTCTTGTGAAAGAATGCATGACGTTAAATATTCTTGAGCCCCTCAATGTCTGGAAGTGGCTCTATCTTCCTCCTTTGACAATTAAGTGGTTATGGGAGTACAAACTTCATGTAGTCCTGTGTTGGGAAGGTCTGTTGACTCCTGTGTAAGAAGCCCAGTGCTGTCCTAATTCTTTGCACAGTTTCTATGAAGGTTATTCATTTTTCGTGCTCTGAATACTTGGGCTCTTCTGTGTCCATGGTGTTCTGAGCCTTCATGAGAATGACCTGCTGGATTATGTAGGCACTCAGCCCCTTCAGTCCAGAATCAGCTGCAGCTGTAGGAAGTGACTTTGAATTGTTTTAGCTCTCTTCATGTGGATTGTTCAGATTTAGGATTTTTTTATAGGTCACATAATTTTGTGTTCTTTTTTCCTAATTCTGGTGTTCTGCTCTCTGTATGATTTTCATATTTACATTATCCTGCAAACCCTTTAATTTGTTATTGTTTCTTCTTTTTCTGGAAGTTCTTTTTTGTTATTTCAATGCTTTTTAAAATGTAAATCAACCTGTTGCTTTATAATGAATCAGATATGTGTCAGGTCACATTCTAGGCTCTGAGGAGACAGCAGAGGGGAAAACCTAGTTCCTGCCCTATGTGATTTATATTTATCTTCGACTCTTTCTGCTTCTTTAACACATTGCCACAGACTGGATAATTTATAGACAAAAACTATTTGACTTATGTTCAGGAGGTCTAGCAAGTACTGTTGGTGCTAGCATCTGGCAAGGTCTTGCGTACTGTGTCATAACATGTTGAAAAGCAAGTAAATATATGGAGAGGAAAGAGAAATTAGAGTGAATTTATCTTTTTTTAAAATTGGAAACCCATTTTTAAAGGAATAAACTTTTAGTAATGGCATTATTCTGCTCATGAGGGCAGAGCCATTGTGACACAATCTTTTCTTAAAGATCTTACCTCTTAGTCCTGTTCAACTAACAAATCTGGAGGTTTGAGGTTTTGTTTTTATTTTTTGGTGGTGGTTGTTTTTGTTCTGTTTTTTTAAATTTTGGAACAGGGTCTCGTGTAATAGTCCAGGCTGGTCAGAAATCTTGACCTTCTTGTCTCAGATTCCTGAATGCTGGGATTTCAGGTGTGTGACACTGCATCTTGCTTACTACATTAGTTTTTGAACATACATTCAAACTATAGCATAGCAGTATTCTCAGGAAGATGGGGAATACATTAAAGTATACATATATATATGCAAATAATATACAAAGTATGATCAAAATATATGTTGAATGTTTAAATTTTAAAAGTTCATTGCAGTAAAAGATACATTGCTATAATATCCCTCAAAATATACCATTGTTTCTGCCACTTTCTCAAGCAGTTGTGGAAATCTTCTGTTGTGAATGTCTTAACAGCATATGATAAAAAATGAACTGAGTGCTGTTGCTAGCTATTTAATGACAGGCAAAAAGGTATAAAAACATAATGTGTCATCTACCTAATTCACTCTGTCTAGAGTTATGGGACTTCTGGCCCTTCTCCAAAGTCAAAATGACCATGAAAAGTAAACGATTTGAATTAATTCAGGTCATCAAGGCAGCTATGAAAGCTAAAGATACTCATGAAAGAGGACTTCCTGAACTGTTTGATGAAGTGGCAAAAATGATTGGATAAGTGCATTCAGAGAAAGGGAGAGTAATTTGAGAGGG